GTCAGTGGTACTGGCACTTTGGATTTAATCAGTTTTTTTGCTAAGTTCTTCTCTTCAAGTTCTATTGTAATTCATGCCATCATCAAAACATCTCATTTAGTCTGGGTAACCAAAGTATTCTGAAAGTTTGAGTTTTCATTGAACAACACGATGGTGGTGCCAAAGCCAACTTCAGTGTTTTGATGTGACACGAAAAAACATTGTCCAATCTGCTCCAACCTCTATTTGATAACAGTCCTGGTCTGAAGACATCTAAATGCCAATATTAAATTATAGGATCACAGAGTGACAAATGGTGGTATAGCAATGTTTGACTGAAACTGATGTCATTCTACACTTCAAAGTAAAGTTTTTGCCTTACCATTGAAACCAACACATTCGAAAAGCTGCAGCTTTTAAACTGAAGGCGAATGGTTTCCATTTCTGGTTTTGTTTGCCTCCATCATAGCTTCACAATTGTTTAGCAAGGGATTGGTAAGAGTTTGCAAAAACTTGGTGCTTTCTGTAGAAACTACAGTCAACTGTGACCCACTCTGCTAGTGACCGAATCACTTGCAAGGATGTTTTTGGTGCAGCACTATATGTTTCTTTGTAACTAGTTTCAAATATCCACAGCAAGCAACTTTCTACAACTACTTTCACAACCAGCACCTGAAAACACATTTGTCACCAACCAGATTCTAGACCTGTGCGAACTCCTCACATACTGGAGCAGTGCTTTAAAGCTAGCTGGACAAGCTGAAATTTAAACTCTTAACCTGCAATTACAACTGGCTATCTAAAAGTTCTAACAGATATTGGCTGCAATGCATTGGGACACCCCAGGTGGGACTCGAACCCACAATCCCTGGCTTAGAAGGCCAGTGTCTTATCCATTAGGCCACTGGGGCTGCATTTAAGCAGTTCTGTAGGCAAAATTATCTGTTTTCACCGGCCATGTCCATTCCTTTATGACCACAGTGTACCAATATCTGATGGCATTATCTGATGGCTGCTTGCAGCAGGATAACTCACCATGTCATCTCAAACTGGTTTCTTCAACATGGCAAAGAGTTCACTGTACTCAAATGGCCTCCACAGTCACCAGATCTCAATCCAATAGAGCACCTCTAGGATTTGGTGGAACAGATGGATGTGCAGCCGACATATCTGCAACATTTGTGTGATGTTGTCACATCAGCATCGACCAAAATCTCTGAGGAATGTTTCCAGCACTAGTTGAATCTGTGTCATGAAGAATTAAAGCAGATCTGACGGAAAGAGGGGGTCCAACCTGGTACTACCAAGGTGCACCTAATTAAACATCTGTGAGTGTTGATATAAAGTTATGTTACAGTTACATTTTTATGAGTCTGGATCGTAATGGATGATTCTGGAATATTTAAAAGTTATTCACTGTTGTTATTTCTCTGAAGAAAACTAAAAGATCTACAGAAACAAATAATCATGATGTCATGTTTTTTTTCCTCTAATTAACCAATATTATCAAATTAATCCTTTTAAAACTCCCAGTAATGAGCACACAGGTTGCCACAAATTTGGACATTAAATAATTTCATTTACTAACTTCTTGTTAACATCTCCTGTTTGAATCACTTCTTTTTGCAATCATGAGCAACTAAAACATAATTAGAAAAAGAGACATTTGCTCTAAAGGATCCTTATTTATTTTTTAATAGTAGAAAGTCTTAAACATCCAGCTGTGCATGTTCCTTAGCAACATTATTCTTTGTTATGTTTATTACTCTGAAAATAACCAACAGGTTTCCCTTTGAATCCAGCCCAGAAAAAGATGGAAAGCAGGGGCAGCAGAGGCCGACAGGCTGCTTGTTTGTTTACAGTACTTACACCGACATCTCTGCATTAATGTGCCAATGATTTACTGGTGTTAAAATGCCGCGCGGTGCACCTTCACCCTCGCTCAGTCACTTTTATCACCATTAATCTCACTCCTCCCGGCTGCACTTGGCTAAATGTTTTCTGGCCTTCATTTGCCCGAGCTCCTCCCCCATCAATCACAATTATCAGCCATGATTGATGAAGCCGCCAAGGAAGCGAGACGTAGCGCTTTACGAGGTCGATGACTTTGAGCATAACTGTCAGAACTTGGCTTTAATTTCATCAGAAGTTTGTGTTTGTGTGTTAAAGCATGAGTTTGGGCTGGTGTAAATCTCATTTAATTGGCTAAGCTGGTGAACCACAGAAAACGACGGGAAGGCCAAGTGAGAATTAAAGCTCAATATAAAGGTTAAATGGCTGTTTCACCTCTGGGCCAAACGCCGCATACTCGGGCAGAGTGAGCAGCATGACATGATTTATGAGTCTGAATCTAGGAGTTATAGCTAATTAACTGATGGCACTCACACTGTCAAGGTTGCTGGTTTGAATCCCATTGCATAGAACAAAGTGGGATAGCAGTGTGTTCGAATAGGAAGGATCTCCTCACAGAGAACGTTTCTCAACTGTGTTTATCTGATATTTTATCCAAAGGCCCATCAAAGAGATTTAAAATCACGTTCATCAACATTGCTGTAGTTTGAATGTGATCATCTGCACTCATTTTAAAATTAGGTGCCAACTCTTACATTGAACTGTTTAAATCAACTCTTCCTCTACTTCTTCTTTTGGATGGCCCCTTTATGAGTCTGACTCCATCTCACCCTATCCCGCATCTGGTATGGAAATTCTTGGCAATTTAGCAATTCAATCATAGCAAAGATTTTTACACCGGCTGCGGTTCCTGACACAACCCTTCCCTTTTATCCTGGCTTGGCACCAACAGTAGGAGTACATTGGTTTGAGACCCTCCCACCTATGGCTGTGTTACCATTTCAGGCCAGCACGGATTCAAACTTGCCGTGTACTGTAGGTGCACATCTAACGTGGTGGGCAGGGATAGCTCAGTAGGTAGAGTGGTGGCCCCATGATCGGAAGGTTGGGGGTTCGACTCCACTGAACGGCTACCCTGAGGTGCCCCTGAGCAAGGTACCGTCCCTACACACTGCTCCCCGGGTGCTGTATTGGTGGTGCCCACTGGGTGAATGAGTTAAATGCAAAGGAATTATTTCCCTATGGGCACTAACAAACACACACGTGGTGTGTTTTTGTTGAAAATTCCCTCTCAAAGATGCACAATGAACAAAATGAAGACAAAATCAAGCGATGATGAGCTTATCCTGATGTTTCTAAACAAAAAGAAAAGAAACTGAGATTCTGGTTCATCCAATTCTCAGTAGAAACCAGGAGCAGGGAAAATTTGATTTGATCCCGGTGTTGAAGCTTTATCGTGATCGATTTTCAGGATGTCAGTGGGGCAGAGGTGATCCAGTAATGCTGCACTAATGAATTAGACTAACTAATTAGACTAACTATTCACTTTAGCTAAAGTTATTAAGTTAGCTAAAGAGTTGGGATGCTGTGTAAGACATAAATAAAGCTAAAATACAAAGGTTTGGGCACGGTTTTGCATGTTTCCCTACTGTAGGGGTCTCTGCAAGCATACAGAGGGGGTACTCTGAGAGGGTCCAAGATGACAACTTTGGAATTCTACTAGAAACAGTCGATCATATTTGTTGTCAAAGCTGAATTCAGGGCAAACTACGCTAAATTAGCGTTTTTACCTAGCAGCTACAATAAGCATAAAAGTTACCGTACGGCTATCATTTGTTAACATGACGCTTGTTATACATGTAATACATTTATTACCAACCTGAGAGTTTATCCGCTGGTCATTCGACATGACGAATGACTTCTGAAGTCTTAATTCAGCTAAAGACGCTGTAGATTCCCGTCAGTAACACTTTCGGTCCGCTAGTAAAACGTAGTTCTATTAATCTGCGCTTGAACCGGAACCGGATGTAAGTTCCAAAAAACTGAATTTTGGAACTGAAATTGAATGGTGAGAAGTGAAACTGAAATTATTCGAGAGCTGAATTTTTAAAGGATAAAATGCAGTTTCAAAGCAAATCAATTCATTTTCAAAATATAAAATTCAATTTCAATTTAGTGATGATCATTTTCAAACCATAAATTCAATTCCAAATTAGACTAATTCAAATTCAGTTTTCAAAAGCATTTATTCAAGTTACAATTCAGATTCAATCTGAGCAATTCAAATTCAAATTTAACTTATTCAAATTCAGTTTCTGATGGCACAGATTTCTGCCCATACAGTTTGACGTGTGTTGGCAGAGTTGGAATCACATCTGAGGAGGCAGAGAAATCATTTCAGAGATGCATCTATCTGTGTGTCTGAGGTAATGTAGTAATATTTTACTATTTCCATATCATTGTATATTTAAGCTGGTGCACATTTTGAGGTACAAATGCTTTGATCTGATTGGTCAGATCTGTTTATTTGCGTCTGAAAAAATAATCAAGCTTGGTAATCACATGGGCATTTCCTTTGAAAAAATGAGCAAAAAATAAATTAATTAAATCAAATCCTGTAAATACAGGCTTCAGTTATCCAGCTTAATATGCTATGCAGACCAAAACGGCACCAAACAAATCGCGTGTGTCATGTGTACTATTTCCACATGCTCTGTCTAGTATGTGTAACAGCTCAGGCTGGTGCTGGCAGTGCAGTGGTGTAGAAGGTGTTTTCTTTGCCTGCTTTTGGGGCCTTAACACCAACTGAGCATCATTTAAACAGCATAGTCTACCTGAGTGTTTATGCTGACCATGTTCATCCCTTCATGACCACAGTGTACCATCTTCTGGTAACACACCATGTCACAAAGCTCAGAGTTCACTGTACTCAAACGGCCTCTGCAGTCACCAGCTCTAAATCCAATAGAGTACCTTTAGGATTTGGTGAAATTAAGGGAGATTTGAAGCCTAAAAGGTACCCAAGCAGGTATTAGCAATGACATGTACAGTGAGTGTATATATAAACAATTTCCATTCCAACAAGAACAGAAAGATGGCTATCCTAGGAGAGAGCGGCTCCATTGGCCACTGGATCATGGTCTAAGCCTGTTTCTGACCCTACTTGAAATCACCCCAGGTGGGACTCGAAACCACAATCCCTGACTCAGAAGGCCAGTGCCCTAACCATTAGGCCACTGGGGCTGCACTGAAACACTGCAGGTTACAGTCAACAGTCAATAATCAGTGATTATGATTGGTTTCTTGAAAATGACACTGAGTTCACTGTACTCAAATGGCCTCCTCAGTCACTAGAACTTAATCAAACACAGCACATTTGGGATTTGGTGGAACAGGAGATTCACATCATAGATGTTCAGCAGACAAATCTGCAACAAGTGTGTGAGGCTGTCATGTCAACAGGAACAATACCTGTTGATTCTGTGCCAAGAAGAGTTAAAGGAGTCCTGAAGGGAAAGGAGGTCCAAATGGACACTAGCAAAGTAAATGGGTAAGGTAGGATGATCTGATATCCTCATGTTGGTGTTTCTTTTGCACGCCAAGCCATTCGAAATTCCAATGTTGCAAGGACAATATCAATTCTGCTTACTGTTTATTAAAGGGTTACGGTTAGGGTTAGGGTCAGGGTCTGTTGATCGACGGACAGAGGCGGTTTCACGCAGCTTAAGTACAGTTTTTTGTTTTACGCCGGTTTTTCCCGAAGTCGCAAAAGTATGACGTCACAACATTCTGATTGGTCACTTGCAATGTTGTTCCTGGAACAACATTTAGTATGATGATCTGGGAACAACACCAACACGAGGATATCAGATCAACCTAACAGGCAGTAACATTAAGTATGATGATCTGGGAACAACACCAACACGAGGATATCAGATCAACCGGGTAAGGTACATGTCCACATACCCCGTTTTCTGCAGTCGTAGCCCTCAGGTTACTTGAACCACTGGGTCTAAGCCTCAGTAAAAAGCACAAAGAAATCAATACAGGAGCTAATTCCCTTATTTCTAATTTCCTTGTTCCATTGGAGCAAAGTTTAATGTTCCACTTTGAATCAAAACACCTAAATTAATTGTGCCATATTGCTAATAACTTTCCAGCCTTATTAAAAAAGCCCCTTCTTGAATGTCTTAGCTTCACTGAGCTGAGAGAAGCACGTTTATAGGGTCGATTCCTTCTGTGCACTCACACCATCTGCGGGTTTCAGCAAGGTGGATTAATTAGTTTTTATGCTAGTGTGGGTAACTGAGGACTCGTTTCACATCGAAACAGATAAAAATGTACGATAAAGAGGATCATTTGAGTTAAAGTATGTCTTTAATGGTTATTTGCGACCATTTATGTGAATTCACATTGGCACACATCGGCTTTCTGCACCTCATTTAAACAGAAATCTCGAACACTTGGATAAAACATTCAAACTGCAGCACCTGATTGACAAATGGTGTTTGTCATTGTTGTGACAGGTTTAAGTCATGTTATATTTTCTCACCTGTACACTGTTACCGGCAGATCTTCTCAATGTAACAAACCTGAAGACTTTAAATACAAACTCACTGCAAACAGCCAAAAACGCTGTCAGATTCACTGATTTGAAGCTGAAATTAAAATTTGATTAGCAGCCTGCAGCAGCAACTGTTTTCCCCAGATTGACCCTGTGGCCTTTCAGCGACAGGAAGTGCACTCCATCCCTCACTGCGCCAATGTGAACGCTCTAACAGCTGCCGCAGTGAGGACTTGAGACAAACACGAGAGCTCATTATGATAATAGGAAAAGGCCGGGGAGATTTTCAGCAAGATTAAAAACAACTTGATTAACCCGCCTGTCAGTCACACGGCATCTGCTGTAAGCTACTCTGAGCGAAACTCGAGTCAAAGTATCTGCGGATAAAAACATGATGAACAAATCTCCTCCTGGATATGATGAGAAGTGTTTAACATTAACAGCTTTAAAACGCTGGCTGTTCTTCTACATGCTGACTTAACAGACACTAAAAGTCACTCTACAATCTATCACAAATACATCTTGTTTAGATCACTTAACACTCTTTATTCTACTTCTACTATTACATGTTTGTTGGCATGACTTACCACCACAAAACATAGATATAGAAGTGTGAAAAGAAGCACTTTTCTGCATCCTCAAACAGTAGCTTGCAAAGTACAAAAATCTCCTAACATATGTTTGTGCTTAATTGCAATGGACACTTCTGTATCCCTTATATAAAGACTGTCAGCAAACATGCATGTTGCACAGGTGTAGTTGGTCATACTTCATGTTTACAATGTTTCTACATTTGTGGGCCCTTAAGAATATTATGACTGCTATTCATTGTCAGGCCCAGTGGCACTGGCATCTGCAACACATGTGCTGGAACCTGAACATGTGGAGGAACTTCTGCCTACAGCAGTTAGATCGTAGGGTCAAAGTGCAGTAAAGATGCGGAAAGCTTTTGGTGGAGGCAGTATGATGGTGTTTGCCACATCTCCCTCACTGGAAAACCAATGCTTGCCATCACTGGAGACAATCTCAGTGCAGACAGAATAGAATAGAATAGAATAGAATAGAATAGAATAGAATAGAATAGAATAGAATAGAATAGCTCTTTACTGCCATTGTACATATACAAGTAAATGCTGTGTGCTCCACCCGACTACTGTCCAAGAAATATAAATAACCACATGGATTAAAGGTACACAGTAAAACGAAACTGCACAGTGGCTTGAGTTTTGGGCAAAAGACTTCATCAAATATCGAGATGAGATTCTGCAACCAGTAGCAATCCCATATTTCCATAGTCTGGGATCGAGCTCTCTGACACACGACCTGAGAGATGCATTTGGACCTTAAGTTGATCAGTCTGCTGTTCGCTGAAGTGTCACCTGAAATGGTCTCAGTGGAACGGATGGCTATCAAGAAGCCATTATTAACAAACATCATTTGTAAAGAAGTTAGGGGATAACAGGCAGGGATGATCTGATATCCTCATGTTGGTGTTGTTCCCAGACCATCATGAAAATTTTGTTCCAGGTTCAACATTGCAAGTGACCAATCACATTGTTGTGATGTTATTCCTTTGCGCGCCAAGCCATTCGTGCATTTATGAAATTCCAATGTTGCAAGGACAATATCAATTCTGCTTACTGTTTTTTGTTTTACGCCGGTTTTTCCCGAAGTCGCAAAGGTATGACGTCACAACATTCTGATTGGTCACTTGCAATGTTGATCCTGGAACAACATTTAGTATGATGATCTGGGAACAACACCAACACGAGGATATCAGATCAACCTAACAGGCAGTGGACCAAACCACTCGCTGTATTTTCTTTCTTTTCTTTTCCTTCTTTTTCCTTGTTCTCTTAGCACAAAATTGTTTCTGTACCTATGAATATATTATTTAGCTGTGTATAGCTATATTTACACTGGCAACACAGTTTTTACCACAGGGGATCAGGACAACGTCATTTCTGTCCGTTGTTGCATGGACATGAAAATAAAGCTGGGGGAGGTCCCTGTGGTCACTCAGCCAGCATTCACTGTTTCCAGCTTCTCCAGAGGGTGAAATTGTTGCTTTCTCTCTATTCAGTCAGAATGTGCTCAGCTGCTGGAAACATGAAGAGATTCATTGAACTTCAAACTTATTCCAGACAAAGTTTTGGCTTTGACCTCAAACTGCTTAAACTGTCTTTCCTTCAAAGGTTGCAATATACAGTTTCTTAAGCCTCCTATTTTTCAAACCAGCCACGTAAGAGCACCCGCAAACCTTCCAAAAACAGGATTACTTCTTTGCATTGTGTCAGTCATTGTATTGACTTAGAAGTCTCAGCTCGATGAAGTGCAGCTCCTTGGTAATCCCCTCTGACGGCCGCAGAGAACCCGGGGCAGCGACGTATGCGCCGCTCTCAGAGTTTCGAGCTCTGCTGTTGTGACCCGACGGCAGCTTAGCGCTCACCATATGTTGTTGTGGTTGTCAGGAGCTGTTTTTGTGTGTGCGCGGAGGAGGGAAGATTAGCTGCGTGTGGTAGTTGTCACTCCGCAGATATCTGCACTGAGAGGGCACGAAAAGGAAACAGACAATGCAGGTTTATATTCATTAGAATGATAGCGGAGATTCCACCTCAGACTGATTAAACTCCGATCTCATTAAGCTGTTTGTGTTTTATGTCTTTTAAGGAAGTTCCCTGTGGCTTCTTATTTGCTTTATCTACCAACACAGTACAAATTACCCCTCAGCTCCCAACTTTTCAGGTTCTTGAAGACTTTTCACTCATCCGGTTACAAAACCTGACAGGGAGCCCTGGGCTAGAGTTTAAATACATGAGACTTCCCATCAGCTTCTCATCAACTATCTTCAAGAAACTAAAAGAAATTCAGTTGACTGACTACCATCACTTGACATGTTCCATCTTTCTTAACAATTCAGCAAAACTTAAAGTTAAAGTTCATCCAATTCTCTCTTTTAGTTCTTCCAAACGTAACCCAGAATTGAAAGGTCATGCTTTTGATCCAGTTTACTACATCCTGCCAGTGATATACTCTGATAAACAAAAATAGAAATTGTTAAACAGAAAAATTTTGGACTGTTTGACCTCCAAATTTGAAAAGGGAAAACCAATGTGTTTATAATGCAGGATTTATGGACCGGGATTGATATCTGTCTCACACACACACACACACACACACACACACACACACACACACACACACACACACACACATATGAAGAGAGAGAGAGTATGCATAGTATGCAAACGGCTACCAAACAGCCATCATATTTCGTCATACAATGAGAACAGGACAAATCAACAATTGACAATGACTAATTAATATTGTGCTGAACACAGTCCAAAAGATTCAGTAAGCTACATCAGTGTCTACTGTTTACTATCATAGCCAAGTGACAAACGTAAACAGAAGTTTTCACTATCCCTGCCATTGACTGTAGAAAAGATTCTGCAACCAGTAGCAATCCCATATTTCCATAATCTGGGATCGAACCAACCCAGGATTCAAATCATGAATACATAATGGGCTTGGATTTACAACATTATAAATGAAATGTGCTCCATTTGGGAGCAGCCGCACCCCCCACCCTTTCGACAGGTTGTGTGTGAGACTTGAAATTATCAAACTGTAAATTGTAAATTTTAAATTGTTATTGATCCCTTTACCCCTGGTCCTA